AGTTGCTGTACGGAAGCAAATGGACACGACGATAAAATCAATTATAAAATGAGTAACGACCGCCTAGCGGGAAAAGAAATTAAGAAATTATTTATACAAAGAAAAAATCCTTCAATCCGGCTGCCAGACCGGGGTTAATCGCTCTCCCAACTGAGCTACAGAACGAATCAGCAGACCTCGTGAATTTCTCTATGTGCTTCTTAACGATCTTTGTTTTTAACTGACTTCAAAAAAGGAGGAGGTTCACAATTCACCTACATATTTTTATATATATGTTACGCGTTAACTCCGGTATTTGTGAACCGATTTTTTAAATTCTTATTTTATTGGAAAGAGAGGACCTTAGACTATTGGTCTCATTTTTGAAGAAATTATTCCACCTCTAAGGGTGGCAAATTAGGGGATGTATCCGGTTTCGCGCACTTCCTGGTAACCGAATTCAATATAACTTGGCAAATAGATGTAATTCCACGAATTTTTCAGGTCGGTTTGTTTAGTACTCTGTACTGATTTAAACTTTTTGCCGTAGCCTCATCTATTGAACCTATGAAGGTTTTTCTCACTCAGCCAGGTAACTTTACAGCTACGTACGGCTGATAAGAGATGCAGCTTTTATTAATTGCTTTATTTTATTGAATACCACGTTTTTATTAACATGATGTATTTAATACATGAACGCAGGTATTTTTCTTACTGTTTATTGAAATCAATAATAACAAACTAGCGGAGAGTTTTCATTTTTTTCAACCATCATAGGTTGAGACTACCTTCAAGAGCTAAACGACGTTGTCATCCAAGTACGCAGAAGTATTATGATATTTATATTTTGATAATATACAGGTAAGGTACAATAAAAGCTTATATACTAGAAAGTAAAACTGGGACTTTTGATTATTCATACAAAAATCAAAAACTCAGAAAAAACTCCTTCGATCCGGCCCGATTCGAACCGACGTCTTCTAGCATACCGTGCTAGACGCTATACCAACTAAACCACGAACCAGCGGACCTCAAGAATTTTTCTATGCGCTTATTGTCGTGTCTTTGTATTTGGTTTTTCAACCATCTATGAGAAATCTATGAAATCTAGGATTTTTAAATTATATTAATAAAATTGGGTCCCCGCGGTAAGGTGCCTAAGATGCTGGCAGGGTTCTCCTTTGTATGGCTATGCGACTAAGTTCCCAGATAGTTTATTAATTTTTCGATAAAATTTTGTACAAAAGGCTGTAAATATTAACATCGCGGTAGTAAAAATAATTATGATAATCAATCAAATATATGTTTCATCAAATTATTGTCAAAAAACAATGAAGAATTCATAGTCCAATAAAGAGAGTTTCAGTCGGATAAAAAACATCTCGTCGTTTGTAACACGTTTCAGATTTGCAGGTAGACGGATTATGTGAATCCGGTTTCGATCCGACTAATCCTCTTGGAAAATATCCCATTAACTTCCATATTGCTTATACTGTTTACTAAAAACAGGATACAAGAATACAAGATATTTATTCGTACATTTACGTAAGATCGTACATATCACCAAAATTGGCATGCGAATATTTTATACAATTCTAATTTCACTTTAGAAGTAGAATGCAAAAAAATAAAACGTTATAAACAAACAACAACATTAGGAATTGAACCAGAAAATACGAAGCCATAAATATAACATACAATAGTTAATTCTACATTTCATGTTGTCAAGTAAAAAATTATCAATATTGTAGAAGCACTGAGTATGCAATTTCATTTAACAACTTTAGCAAAATTTGTAACAATAGTTCCGAAGGTTACCGCTAGATGACATTGGCACAGAAAACGCAATTTCTGAATCGCGGTGTTAAGATTTTCCCAAAAGGTATTTTATATGAAATTTATCATAACTGATCTATTCTTCGACTTATCTATAGCTGTAATTGACGGTTATCCTCATTACTAAGGAAGTATCTCGAACTCGCGCCCATCTTTCGGGGCAGCTTATGAGAACACCACTGAGTATCTTTTTATAAGATTCGAACCCACCGCGGGACTTGTCGCGGACTCTGCGCTTCGCTTGCATCTAACGCGACGAATTTTATTGGACACATTATATTGTAAACTTTTTTACAATAAATCATGTCTTCTTCACCAAATTTCATCGTTTGATTCCTGGACGTAATAAGGGGGCACCAGCTAGCTAACAGCGAGCAAATCTTTACACCCCCTCCTACTACACTATTTAATTCTTTAACAGCATCCGGCAATTCATTCACTCATTTGGGTGCTCATACGAACATCGTTCTACTGTAAAATTCCAAATTAGTTTAAAGTTTAACCGGAACTCAACTGTTTAAAAAAAATCAATATTCTAGGACTTTTGTTTGTTCTTAAACACCTTTTTAACGGATTGAAGTTAAAGTATTATATAAAATATATTTAACCTTTATAATGTTTTGGTTTCAGAGTGGAGGCGTTATGTTTTCACCACTTGGACGTCTCAGGGTCGCTCAAGCTGTAAGAAAACAGGTAAACCAAGTTTTTTAACGGCTTTTATTTTGGTTTTGGCTCAAAAACATGGAACCCTATAATCTGTCTTTTTAGAACAAATAGTGTATAACCAGAAATAGAGACGAAATGTCATTTAATTTGTTTAAAAACTATTCTACCATTCATCATTACTGTGACAACTGCGCTCCGATTGGTCAGTCCGAATCCGAAACAATTGACGGGTGCCGTCAATTGTTTCACTTCAAATCGACCAGTTTAACTTGATCTTTGCTATAATGGACGAAAATTGGAAAATTAAGTATTTAAATATTTAATTATCGATGAAATATGATTCCATTTGTTTTGTAATTAGATGCTTTGCTGTTTTTCCCACACCACCAAAAGTAACATCCTCTTATTTTTAGAGATATTATCTTTATTACAATAAATACCGTATATTTTTGGTATATACGGAGATTTTTTCCATTCTACCGTGGAAAAGGTTTTTGAAACTCGAATTTGACAATTCGATGAAAAAAAAAATATGATACGTTCATTTATGCAATATAAATGCGTTCGAATATTTTCTTCTTATTTTTGTTGACATTAAATTGACAACGATAACTAATTTTAGTTATTAAAACTGATTTGGTGTAGTTCAACTGTTTTTCTTTCATCTACCATTTCCCTCGCTGTAGTGAGGTGAAAAGTTGTGTGTCTCGCGCGGCAGCAAAGTTGTTTTGCGTCTCGTGGCTTGAAACCCTCGCTACGCTCAAGATTCTATTTTTGAACCGTCCGCTTCGCTCGTTGTTCATTTTTAGATTTCTTCGCTTACTCAGGTTTCAATATAAGCACTCGCGTCAAATAACAATGTTGCAGCCTTGCATAACAAATAACTATTTAATTGTAGGTTTTTACATTAATTCAACATGTTTCAGATGAGTCAACTGCCAGTACTGAGTTCGGAGGCGCCGCCGCTACAAGCGCCTCTTTGCTATCAACTATTGTGTGCGCCCCCAATAGCGCCCCTTCCTGCATGCGCGCCGTGCGAAATGCCACCACCACCGTATGCCGTCTATCCTGTGCCCTTTGAAAGTGAGTGCTTACCTGTCAATTACAATCTTAATGAATTGTTTGTGAAAAGGCATTTTCACTGAACCCTTGCATGAAAGAACACTAGATACCGTCTGTGTATGGGATGTAAATGTATCTATACTATTTTGGGTGGAAGATTTTCGGCCATGGTATGAGGTTTTTTGAGTTGGGTTTTTCCGTACAACAGGTACAAATTTGACACCATGGTAGCCATTACTTGCGGGTTTAAAATTTACATAAATTTAAGACAGAAACACGATTGTAAAAATTTTTCCCGATAGATTAATTTTTCAAAGTAGACCTTTCCGAAACATTTTTAACATTCAATTTCTGAACATAAATTGAATGTTTTTTTGCGTAATTTTTTTGCGTATATAATTGCGTACTGTCAGTCGTTTTACACTTGCAGCCTATGGATACACTTTACCCAAAAGGCTTACAGCGCTCTACGAGTCCAATATAACAACGCGTTCAGGATGTTGTTGGGGCTGCCGCGTCATTGTAGTGCATCTGGAATGTTCGCGGAAACGCAGATTGATGGCTTCCATGCCATAATGCGCAAACGCATGGCATCATTGAGAAGACGCGTGCGCGGCAGCTCCAACAGCCTCCTGGCCACGGTGGCGGAGAGGCTGGACGGTCCTTTTTTGGAGGCGTGGGATGCCCTTCATAAACCTGTGTACGTTCTTATAAAATAATATATATTTGTCTATAATTATTACTATTTGTTAAATATTCTTGTACTAACATAGTTGATAAGTGCCTGTAACTAACAAATGATATGGATTAATTTCTGAAGTAAATGATTTTTGATTTTGATTTTGATTTTTTTGATAAAAAAGATTACTAGATATTGTTATCGTAGCAATGGCATACCATATTTGCTAATCGGCGCACAGTATTTGGCGATTGTTGCCCAAAATGAGCTAGACGTACAAGAAAGAGAGATTTTGAAAGGAATGGTACGTCGCGCGGGGAGGCCCCATTCGTATTTTATAAAAACTTAATAATTCAAATTACTTATTAGATTATTAAGTTAATTTTTGTTTAATTCAGTAGACAATTAAAGGTCGTGCAAATTCTGAAGAGAATTAAGAAATAAATCAATTGCAATGAGGTTTTGTCGCTTATGCCAATAAAATTACTCCTGACACAATCCGATGAGCGCTTCTCTACGTTTGCCTCTTTACAATCCACTAGTGCTATTAATTTTTGTATTTCATAAGAATGCGAAGTTTTCTTCGTACACAAACAAATTGAATATTTATGCGATTTCAATTTTCCAGCTCAAAATTTTTGTGAAAAATAAATTGTTTTAGCGTCGCCATTGTTGTTTGTTGCGGTAGATAATTGAATGAAATGTGTCTTATTTCGTTATTACTATTTACCCAGCTAGCTTTTGGTTTAATTAATAACATTGTATTTGTGTATTATAGTGTACTTCCTTTTAATTGCTAACGTCGAATAATTCAAATTGTCTTTTTATTATTTATAATACCAAGTTGATGGTACGAACAAGTCGTGCACCTGGTGATAAGCGATATGCCTATCCATAACAATTGCCGCACTGCCACTGCATCGTGTCATTCTGAGACATAAGTATTTCCAGCCTTTTACAGTTTAGAGAACTTTTTAGACCAGCACCCATTGACTTACAATTATATGGACGTCGGGTCCGCGCTAAAAAGTGTCCGCACTTGTAAGGCGCTAAAATCGTATACAGAGCGCGACACTCCGCTTTAGTCTTCATTTGTTCTACGGACAGCGCGATACTGCGATGACATAACAATTTAAATTTCGAATAGGTTGACTTGGGACATTTTTTTCGTGGTTTTTGTATTAGACCCGTCGTCCATTTATTTGTAAGTCAATGCCAGCACCTTTACGTTTCTAAATCGGAACGTAGTAATACTGACATTACTGCATGGGTGGCATTGCTTCCCTGGACGAACTCTGTCACAAGAAGCTCTACTGCATCTAAAATTTACCCTTTCTAATAAATTTATTTTGTAGCTAGCATTTACACTGTTTGTCACAATATTACGAGCATTTGTATTTTTTTTGTAAATAAATGTGTTCTTTTATAACTTAGTCTACCTTTTCATCTAGTATTTATACGAAAATAGAAATAGAAATAGAAATAGAAACTATTTATTGTAACGCCACATTATAAAAAAAAAACACAAAAACAAAGACTAATATAGCTAAAAGAGAAAAAACACAAAGAACAGCGTAAAAACATTTTAACAACAAGTTGCATAATACTATACTGACATGTGTGCGGCTGTGGCGTGTACAAAAGGATCCCATTCAGCTAAAGTCACAACCAAGGCTAGGTTGTGACGCTGGTTTTCAATGGGCCCTAGCCGAGTGAGTGAGAGTGACGGATGTATGCGTCCCGGAACAGATAATAAAATAAAATAAACTACGTAAATACTTAACCATGAGTGTGTATAGTGTTATTGCAGTGTGTACTCTTATATCGAATAAATACTTACATAATCTTTGCAATATATACATACAGGTATAAGTGTGTGTAGTGTGAAAACAAATTAATAAAATATTTAATACATATTTAAAGTACATTACTTCAAATATATTAAACAAGATTATCTATTTTCGTAAAATAAAAGTTCTTTGACTTCAACATTAAACAACTCTTGTTCTTACGCAGTTACTATTTCGAATAATGCTATGTGAATTAACATGTTTAAATGTTTATGATTATTAAGTTAAATAAAAATATACAATCAAAATAACGTATCACTGTTATAAACATCATTCCATTATCATATTTTATTTTATAAAACTGTGAACGCTATACGGATTGCAGACGCGTCACCCTGCCGATTGCTCCGTTCATATTTTCCTCCAAAGATAAGCCGTAGAGCTTCTTGAGTCATAGTGTTAGTAGCCGTATAGTTCCTTATGAAAGAGTTTGTCCAGGGAAGCACTGCCACCTTACTAATTTCCGCCTGGGACTTGTTTACTTATGACTAATGACACTGCAAGTATTGCAGACTGTTATATCACTTACCACCAGGCAAACGTCTCTTGATATCATAAAAAAGTAGGTCGTATCAGCTCAAATACACTGCAGCGGCGGTCCAGCTCTAGATATTTGTGACTATGTGACATCCTTACATCGTCATCACACCTTTTTATCGCCTTTTCTCCGGTTCCTGGCCACTCGTTTTTAAATTTTGAATCGTTCTTTAATTCCTTTGCCTCGCCATTCTGATTTTGTTTCGTCCCATCGTCTCTCCCGCCCGATCGCGGCAGCGAACACGTCTTCTTGTTAATTTTTTTGAACCGTTTACCAGTCACCAAAAATCTCTTGTGCGATAAACATTTTAAAGATCGCAAATATTAATAAAACGGGAATCATATTTATACACACATTACAATACTACAGAACATTCCAAGCTGTAGCAGCAGCGGTACGCGCGTTTCATATTTTGCGTCTTATCTCTTATTTGTTACATTTTCAGCAACCGGTCCAGCGATCTACGGGCCGCCTGCTCAATACGCGCTGCTGCCAGCGCCATACAGTGCCGCCGCATGCTGCGAGCCCGCCTGCTGCGCACCTTTGGACAAACAACCACGAGTCCCGCCGCCGCCCCTCCATCATGCCTTCATCTACTAAACTCACCGATCAAAAAGCACGTTGCTTAATCACACCACTGTCTCATTGGGTTATTTTAATTATTTTAATTACAAATTGGCATCAAATTAGTTTGCAACGTTTTATGAACAACAAATTGATGGTAAGTTATGTTATCAACCAATCAGTGTCAACCAACAACGTCATCTAGTCCTAACTAGATCCTAATATGGCGTTAAGTAAGAAATGGTAAGTTCCCTGGTCACTGTGTTAACATAAATTTTATTGTCATTGGAATATAAATGGCATATTAGTAGAACGTTAAACAAGTCACTGCCAATGGAAGTAACGTCATCAATTTAAAGTAGATATGTAATTCTTATCTTGCAAAGAAACTCTGAAAGTATTTTTAAGATTGTTTGATTGAAAGTCATACTTTCAAATGTTAAAATCCAGTATAACTGCCATTAATGTCTAAATGATAGTCCCTGATTAGTTCTGACGCAAATGTGACAATTTCTTTTAATCCTTATTTCAATCATTTGCCCCATTCCACTTTCGTTTCATTCGTGAAGATCGCTTTATGTCAATACCATTCCTTTCGTCAAGTCTTCCAAGCCTCATGCTCAAATCGTTTCTGTCTTCACTCCTTGTATCTTCCTTAATAATTAAGGTGAACGATCTGCCAATGTTTTGGTTTTATGTCACTTTTATCATACGATCATATACTTTAAGAATTTTTTTTGGGCATCTATTTTGTAAACGAAAAAATCATTGTGGAAGATCGTTGGGCGACGTCAAAGGTGAATTTGCTATCGCAAAACAGTTTTAAAAAGGGCTAAAAACAAACATTGTCAGTTCGTTAAAAAAATGTTTAAAACCTAGTCAAAGGACGGTGGTGTCAATTTTGTATCGCACAGATAACTAAAAAAACTAATTGTGATAATTTAAAAATTATTGCTGTTGTCGACTTCTGTTGGCATTAGTAATTATTTTTGAATTCTAGTTTTTAAAAATGTGCTTCAGAATTGGCAGAGAGAAGGTGATCACAACGTGATGCAAGAAGTGTTCAAGTTTTAGACTATCTGGGAGTGTTTTTGAAGATTTTAGATGTCTGAATGTCTATCTTATATTGTAGGTAAAATGTAAGCTTCTTACGATCCGTGTGCTATCATTATTAATGTAAGATCTACGACTGGTTTAGGCTGTTATTAAGTTTTTTGGGGTGCAGAAAAATTAAAATTAACGCTGGAGTAACGATAAAATAACATTTTTAAAAGGGGCGCTTTAATTCCTTAGTCCGACCCTGATTTGTTAGGTACAGTTTTAAATGGTTTACGACACAATATTTGTAATGTTATCTTGCTTAAAAAAGCATACTATAATCATAAAATTTGCCTTTATTTTTAATAACATTGGTAATAGCCTAAACCGATCCAACATTTATCATTGTTAGTAGTGTTAAGTGCGCGTTTGCACGATACGAATAAGCACAAGGCCAAGGCTCGTTTAGATATGTTTAGTACAAGTTACCTCTTGAAAAAGACAATGTTTGTTGTTTGTTATCCTTCTGAAGGAGTTTAGTTTGTTTAGAGTCGGGACTTTGCACTGTGGTATAGAGGTTTTATAATGAAAATAAAAAAAGAACTAAAATTACCTTACAGAAATGAGTTAAAAATGAAATAGAATGGATCATTTGTTTAAAGGGATAATATTTGTTTAGATATTTCAAAAGTTAGCTAGAGTATTTAATAAGGAAATAATAACGACTACTTACTGCTTTGTAATGTATTATTTTGTAGTATATTTTCAAGTATAATTACATTTTTACTCATCGTTGACATCGTGAATTGACTTACTTAATGCTTTTAAAAAACATTGAAATTAAAGAGGAATTCACTTTGTATTTGTTACTATTATAGTCCCTTTGCAGGTGTAAAATAATTTTACGAGCGGTATAAAAAAAAATTAAAATACGGTTTGACGGGAGAACGTTATTTATATGTGTAGTTAAACTCAGAATACGTATTCAATTTTGTAATGTAAAATAGTTTTAGAAAAATTGTAAAGAAAGATTACAGACCCTATTTTGAAAGTTATTTTTGGTTACATAACGTATAGTGGACTATAAAGAAATAAACCACCTATGCAAGTGCCGTTTGCGAGCACTAATTATAGGCAAAATACGAACACGGTGCGTGCTTTGAGACTTTATAACAATGCGACAGTAAATCATTCTGAGTTTGATTTGTCTTGTTCAAGCATAGACACAGTCAGGCGTGAAATGACCAAACGTCACTTTGACACATCACGTGTTTGGCGATGAATACACTGGTTTGTTCGTTTCATTCTTAGACTCTTTTTCTTTTACCATCCTCTAAGGTTTAATTGTATATTAATAGTAATTTTTATTTTATTTTTTAAATTTATTGACTGTGTTCTTTGTATTCTACTGTAATCTCTTTTTGGCTTGCTAAGCACTTTATATTGTTTCATGTTGGTGGAAATTCGTAAATGGCATTGGATTACTCATATTTAAGTATACTATAATTGTATTATTTGTACCTTAGTAGGGGAGCTCAGATTTATAAATACGGAGGAATCTGGCCACAGAAAAGTGAGATCGTTCGATAGTTCTTTGAAACCTTTAATTTTGTTTAAACATTGCAATTAATTTAATCATAGATTTCCTTGTTAAATACTAAAGCAACCTGGTGAGGCTCAGAACTTCTGTAATCCGGCCCTGCTCACTCGTTCAATTTTTAAAAGATCCTTATGTGCTGCAGTGGAAAGTCCAAAGTTGTTTTCCAATAGCCCTCATCTATAAGAAAATTGATGCTATTTTTAAAATGTTTAATTTTTTAACATGTTACTGTTATTCACGGGTCCAATGTGTAAAAAAATGGACGTTGATTTATGATAACAAAGATTGTTACATATTTTTTAAACTTAGTGCAAAAATAAAACAGTGCATGTAGTTTACTAAATTTAAGTTTATTTTTACCATGTGTGCAAGCGCAGGAAAGCATTAAAAATCCATGGTTGAAAATTCCGTGAAAATTTTTCTTTAACAATTGTTAATATGTTTTAGTATCTGTTCCCGGGAAACATACAAGGTGTTTTGCAAATATTTACAACGTTGAAACTTGTGAAAATAACCGCACCCTGATAGGTTCCGTCCGAGCACACACCATGAACAATTGATGTACATCTTCAGGAATTCCAGATACTTCGCAATTTGAAGACCTAATGAACCATAGCAGCATTCCTTTTTTTCTAACCTGTTCACTACATTAACAATCAAGATGTATTTGACCATCTCGCTGGTTCTAGGTCGCAATGAAGGACCTAAGTTTCATTCCCGGTAGGACCAATTTAAAGACGGTCTTTTCTATATTATTAATGGCCCGGAGTTCATTTCATTACTTCTGTATCTCTAGTATAGGGGATATCGTTTGAAATCAATTAGTGTAAATGAATGAACGACAACACAAAACAGCGATGTGTTATTTGTTGTATTCGCAACTGGTGTGATTGTCCAGCACGTAATTATTATTATCATCATCAGTCCACTGCTATAGGCTTCTACAATGTGCGTTATTTCGGCCGGTCTTCAGCTTTCTATATATAGGTTGTCGTGATAACCTAAAATATATTTTTAGCAGTATTTTTCGGCACAGTCGACCGCGGTCAGGAGTTCAGGTTCAAGAAATTGACATTTCTATAGAAACACCTTGTATACGCAGTTTGATTAAATTTCCCTATTAAATACATAATTTATATTCTATATTTAGTGAAAACTCTTCAAGCTTAATAATTATAAAGTATAATAATAAAAGAAATCAATAAATCGTCAACGATGTGATAATGGGATAATCATAGCAATAGTTCTGTTTATAGATTTAAGTATAGTTTTCTTTCTCTATCTTCAAAAGATCTAATTAGCTATAGCACGAGTTAAAAAAGGACAGGCATAAGTATCTTGCTGTAGAAATTGTTTGCGCCAATAATCTTTATTATTTGCTGTTTAAAAGTTGCACTTGTACTGTAATAAGGTCACATAATATGCAAAACGACAACTTCTATGGGGGACGTATAAAGATGCTTTGTCAAAGAATCATTTATTGCGTAGGTAAAATAAATTAACCAGGGATAGCTCTTTTCAAATAAACTATAATACTATGGAATATTTTGAATCAAATTTGTGTGGAATCTAGACCCATGTCTAGATTTCCTTACATCTTATGTAACACGTAGTATGATTTTACAATTAAAATACTTGCTAATGATAATCTTAATAAATGCTCCGAAATCTTATTGCCCCGTAAAAGAATCGCTTAGCTTTGTTAAACGAAATCGTGGAACCATGAGTTCGGACTTAGTTCTATGGATATCTTCTTTCCTAATGAAATTATAAAATATTTGAGTGAATATACTGTGATGCCACAGTCATGTTACCAGTCTCCTTCAACTTTTCTCTGAGATAAACTCGAGTAACTAAACGGTAGACAGAACGAATCGCTCTTTTTTGCAACACAAATATGGGTTGTATACTAATAATAAAATCATTGATAACTTCTTTATGCTTAAATAATAGAGTTCTAAATAATGCCTACTCACTCTTGCCTTGAAAACGCCCAAGTTATAGCCGTTCGCCATATAAATGTGGAAGCGTAACGTTTCGTGCGAACCTTTGGAATATCAGCAACATAAGGGTGGAACCCCAGCCCACGTCTATAGTCTTTCTTTTTTGAACACGGAGTAAAATAACATTTGCAGGTTTGCCAGTTTTCATAAATTTTTATATAGTGATGTAGTTGTTTTCGTCAGTTTTATCGATAGGTTGTGAAAGAAGGTACATTTTTGCCAAAACTGTCTGAATTGTGAATGTTACGATTATTATTTTTACAGTTCACTTGCTAGTATCGGAATGATATACATTTTAAAATAAAAACAGACATTTCATAATTCGTATTGAAATGAAATGATAAAATTTTAAAATATGTCTCCTCATCTATGAACTTACAAAGATTGACAATTCAAATGAACCTTTGCCCAGAAGTTGGACGAATAATGGGCTCATGATGAATCGAATGACATAATTTCGGCTATCTATTGCATAAAAACCAACATTCAGTCGATAGTCGATACAATATTGATCGACTGCAATCACTAGCTGCTGGCAAGCGGGCAACACTTTTACGCAATTAATCATTTTACTCCAAAAGACAGGCTATAGCCCCCCGAAGTGGAGAAGGCAAAATCAAATAGTGCAATCCCATTGCACACTGTCCGTGATATATCCTATAGAATATCGGTAAGATATTATTTTTATGACTTTCATATTGTGACCTTATTATTACAAGAGTACGACGCAATTAATGTTCTAAATTAATTGTCATAAATGACTTTTTCGACTGTTGTTTTAAAATCGTTAGAGTTGAATATTTCTTTCCTCTCTCAAAAAGCGTTTTAGAATTAATTATCATATTTTGTTAACTATGTGCTACTTGAGACAAAGAAATAGGACCAAAATTCCGAAGAAAATCATATAATTTTAACGCTCCAGTTGGAGAAAAAGTTTTTTCTATAGTATCGCTATAATACGTAACACATGATTGTTATCTATATATGTTGATGTTTATATACACACGTGTATCTTTTATTACAATTTAGAACTCTATCTACTTTTAATAAGAGCTTGGATTTAAGAAAAGCATATAGACGAAATAGAAAATTATATTACGGTTTTATAGAAAAGTTTGGTTTATGCCACACGACAACGCAAAATAAGTACCTAGTCTGCCGACTCACGCGCGTAATTACGACTGAATTTCGATAGCACCATGTGACGTG